CTAGTCATAATAGTTTTAATAAAGGGACCACAATATTTATCCTCTACACCTCGTTTTTTAAAAAAAAAACGACTACGATCGGAACCAAAAATCATGGTTTGATCTTGTAAATCACATTCAGATGCTTGATCACAAATTGGACAATCTAATGGGTGATTTATTAAAAGAAATTCTAATACACTTTCACGTGCTTTTTGAACTAAAGGTGTATCTGTAAATATTTTCATATTAGGCATTAATGGCATAGCACATGAAGCTACAGGTTTAGGTGAATTTTCAATTTCCACTAAACACATTCTACAATTACCTGCAATTTGTAAATTTTCTTGAAAACAAAATTTAGGAATTTCAATTTTGAAATTATTACAAGCTTGTAATACTGTTAAATTTTTATTAACTTTTAATTTTATATTATTAATGTATATATCAATCATATATATAATGAAAATTAAATAAAATTTGAATTTATTTTCACTTAAATGCTATATTTTTATTTAAAAAAAAATATATTCTTATAGCAATTATCAAAGAAGGGACTTGAACCCTTAATGCTTTTAAGCTTTACATCCTAAGTGTAACGTGTTTACCAATTTCACCACTTTGATAATAAATAAATACCTACTATTGGACTTGAACCAATAACCTTTGAATAGGAACAGATTTTAAATCTATCGTGTTTACCAATTTCACCAAGTAGGCTAAAATATATGAAAAATAAAATAATAACTTATTTACAATTACATTTATTTGAATTAAAATATAATTTTTTTATACTTTTAATTACCTTTTTTTATCTTTTTATAATTTCATATTATTTTTCAGATCAATTAATATATCTATTAGTTAATAATTTACTTAATCAAAATATGTTAAAATATTTTATCTTTACAAATATTACTGAAATTCTTATTACTAATATTTTTATAGCAATTTTTATAACAACTTTTTTAACAATTCAATTAGGTATTTTGTTAATTTGGTTTTTTTTAATAAAAGGTTTATATAAATTTGAAAATTTTATTTTTTTAAAATTTTATATTTTATTTATAATTTTTAATTTATTTATAATAAATTTTATTTTTACAAATATTATTCCACATATTTGGAATTTTTTATTAAATTTAAATTTTTCAAATTTATATCTTTTAACTGTTTATTTTGAACCTAAAATTAATAATTATTTTGATTTTATTTTTTTTTCTTTTATTTATATATTTATAATATTTATTTATTTTTTTTTTTTGTTTTTTTTAATTTTTAATAATATTTTTAAAATTAAAACAATTATTAATTTAAGAAAATTTTTTTATTTTAAAATAATATTATTAAGTTCATTAATTACACCACCAGATATATTAAATTTTTTATTAATTTATATTATTTTTATTTTTATTTTTGAAATTTTTATTTATTTTTCAATATATTTAAATAAATATAATATAAATTAATTAATTTTTTTTATAAAATTTAATTTATTTATATTAATATTTGTATTTGTGATAATTTTTGTTTCTTTAAAAATTTTTGAATTTAATTGATAATTTTTAAAATACTTAATAGATGTTATTTTTAAAGAAGATCCATTTGTTAAAATAATTTTATTTTTATAGGTAAAAAATTTTTTATTTTTATTCATATAATATTATATTTAATTTTTGGCTAGATAACATAATGGTAATGTAAAGGACTGCAAATCCTTTAATGACGGTTCAAATCCGTCTCTAGCTTTTTTAGGATAGAGTGGGATTTGAACCCACGGTATTATTACATACTTCAGTTTTCAAGACTGACACCTTAAACCACTCGATCACCTATCCATATTAAAAAGTTTTTAAAATTAACGTCGTTTTTGTTTTTTTAATCTACACCCATTAAAAGGTTTTGTTGTTTTATCTAAAAGATATTTTACTTTAAATTTTTTTTGTTTTAAATTTTTTAAAACATTATATCTACCTAAACCCGTACCATGTAAATAAACTTTTAATTTTTTAATTTTTTTTAATTGAAGATATTTATTAATTTTATAAACAATTAATTGAACATTATATGGTGTATTTTTTTTAAATCTTGTTTTTTTTAATGATTTTGTAGACCATTGTTTTAAAAGATTTCCATTATAAGTTGTTAAACTTATAATAGTATTTTTTAAACTGGCAGTAATATGTAAATTAGTTAAAATTAAAGGATTTTTTTGTTTTAAATTTTTTTTTATTTTATATTTATTTCTAAAATTATATTTAAATTTAGTTTTATTCATAGAATAATAATTTTATTTTTTTTTTTTTTTTTGTACCTTAAATGGACGTTTATTACGTGAAATACGTTTTTGAATAAAAATTTTTTTTAATTTTTTAGACGTTTTTGCATTTGTATGTGTACGTTGTCCTCTAACAGGTAATCCTTGACTTTGTCTAATTCCACGATTACTTTTAATTTCTACTAATTCATTTAATCTTTCAGTTTTAGATTTTTTTAAAAGTTGTTCAACTTTTAAGTTTTTATTAATATAATTAACAAGTCGATTTACGTGGTTGTTTTTAAGTTTATTAAGGGTGATTTGAGGATTAATTCCTATATTTTTACAAATTTTCTTAGATTGAAATTCATTAATACCATATAATATAGTTAATGAATATAAAATACTTTTTGAATCTGAAATTGTTTTATTAAAAATATATAACATAATAGATTTTATCTATATACCATATAAAATGATAGAAAAAAAAATAAATCCCATAACACCATCACAACGTCAAACATTTTTATTAAAAAAAAATAATTTAACTAAAATTTTCAAAATTAAATCTTTAACAAAAGGTTTTCAACGTGCTAATGGTAAAAATAATCAAGGTAAAATAACAGTAAGACATCGAGGTGGCGGACATAAGCGTTTATACAGAAAAATTAATTTTAATAGATCTCAAAATATAGAAGGTTATGTTATTAAAATTTTATATGATCCTAATCGTTCCGCAAATATTGCATATATAAAAAATGATTTTAAATCTTATTTAATTTTAGCACCTGAAGGTTTAAAAATAAATCAATATATTAAAAGTTCATCTCAAGCTGAATTAAAAGTAGGTAATGCTTTACCGTTGCAAAATATACCTATTGGTAGTTTAATACATAATATTAGTTTATATCCAAAATCAAGAGGAAAATTAATAAGAAGTGCCGGAACATCAGCACAATTAATTCAGAAAATTAATAATAAATATGCTAGAATTCGTTTAAATTCTGGTGAACTAAAATTAATATTATTAACATGTTATGCAACATTAGGTGTAGTTTCTAATATTAATCATAAAAAAATAAAATTAGGTAAAGCTGGACGTTCACGTTGGTTTAATCGAAGACCTTCTGTACGTGGAGTAGCTAAAAATCCTGTTGATCATCCACATGGTGGTGGTGAAGGTAAAACCAGTGGTGGTAGACCTTCAGTAACACCAAAAGGTAAAATAACAAAAGGAAAACCTACACGTAAAAAAAATAAAAAAAAATTAATTATTCAATAAATTATGTCTAGAAGTAAATATAAAGGTCCTTTTTTTAAAGTTAATTTATTAAAAAAAAAACAATGGATGAAAATAATGAATAAAAATCTTACAATATTACCGGAATATAGTAATTATTCTGTTAGTGTTTATAATGGTAAAATTTTTATTAATTTAGAAATAAATGATAAAATGATTGGTTTTAAATTTGGTGAATTTATTAATACACGAAAAAAACATATATATAAAAAAAAAAAATAATAATTTATGGGTCAAAAGATTATACCAATTAGTTTAAGATTACAAGAAAAAAAAAATTGGAGTTCAAAATGGATTGTTAATAATAATGAATATTCAAATTTATTACATTTTGATTTAGAAATTAAAAAATATTTTAATAATATTTTTAATTATAAAAATTTAAAATTAATAGATATAAATATAGTAAAAATATCAAATAATATTAATATATACGTTTATTTGCAAAAAAATGCAAAAAATTATCATAAATTACCTTATAATAAAATTATAAATAATTTAAATTTTTATTATCCTAATAATAATATCAAATTATTTATTAAAAATGTTCAATTTTTTGAATTTTTTAAATTACGAAAAAATTTAAAAAAAATTTTTAATAAAATAAAAAAAAATAATAAAATTAATAAAAATGTTAAAAAAATGATTTATAATTTTAGTTATGCTTTTTATACTAAAAAAATTAATATTATAACTTTTTATATAAGACAAACATTAGAAAGAAAAAAAACACATAAAAAATTTATAAATAATATTGATAATATGCTTCAAGAATTTTTTAAAATGTTTTCTAATTTTGTTGGATATCGCTTACAATTTAAAGGCCGTTTAAATAAATCAAAACGAAAAAAAAAAATGGTTTTTCAAAAGGGAAAAATACCTTTAAATACATTAGAATATGATATTAAATATCATTTTAATGAATTTAAAACCCCATCAGGTATTTGTAGTATCAAATTATGGGTTTTTTTTAAACCTTTAAAAGCAACTTTAAATTCTAAGTTTTTAAAAAAACAAATAAAATAAAAACTTAAATTAAAAAAATTTAATTATGTTATTTCCTAAAAAAACTAAATATAAAAAACAATTTAAAGGTAAACTTGTAGGTAAAACAACAAAAAGTAATAATATCGTTTATGGTAAATATGCTATTAAAGTTTTAGAAGAAACACGTTTAACTTCTAGACAGATAGAAGCAACACGTAGAATAATTATCCGAAAAATGAAAAGATTAGGATTTTTATGGATTCGAATTTTTCCGGATACCCCAGTAACAGCAAAACCTACAGAAAACCGTATGGGTAAAGGTAAAGGTGCTGTTTCTTTTTGGATAGCTAAAGTTAAAAAAGGTCAAATTTTATATGAGATTAGTGGTATTTCATTAGAAAATGCGAAAAAAGTTTTAAAAGCAGGTTCAAATAAATTACCTGTTAAAACAAAATTTATTTATAAATAAATACAATAAGGCTTATAGTTTAATTGGTTAGAGCATACCGCTCATAACGGTATAGTTGTAGGTTCAAGTCCTACTAGGCCTAATAAAAAAATTTATTTTAAATGCAAAAATTAAAAAAACAAAAAATTAATAATTTACTAACTTATCAACAATTTTTAAAAAATAATTATTTAAAAAAAAAACAATTTAAATTAAAAAATATTTTATTTAAAAATCAAATTTTATTTGATAATTTAAATTTAGAATCATATGTAATTGAATTTAATAATTATGAAAATCTTTATTTACCTTTTACTTTAATAAAAATAGATGAAATTTCAACAATTGATATGAAATATGAAAATGTTATTTTATTTAATTATGATTTAACTTATAATATATTATATCAATTTAATAAAATAATGTTTCAAATTATTTTAAAAAAAAAAAATAATTCAATAAAAGGTCGTTTATTAGGTGGAAATCGTAATAATAGAAAAATTTTTATTTCAATTTTAGGTTTTATTTTTTCAATGAAACCTATTAATTTAAATAATGCTTTAAATTATAAAAAAAAAAATTATTTTAATAAATATAATAAAAAAGGATTTTATAAACAAAAAGTTAATTCTACTCGATTAATTAATTGTTATAAATTAAGATATTTAAATTTTCAAGTAAATAATATTAATCATTTAAATATTTTTAAAAAATCAAAAAAAGAACTTTCTAGATTATCATATATACAAACTATTATTAAAAATCAAAAAATATTAAATAATAATTTAAAATAAAAAGTATTCTTTCAAGAAAAATATATGTTGAAGAAATAAAATTTTAAAATAAAATTATGCCACAATTCGATCAATTTTCATTTTTTAATCAAGTTACATGGTTTTTATTTTTTTTTTTTAATTTTTATTTTTTTGTTACTTATTTTTTTTTACCTAAAATTTGTTATAATTTAAAATTTAGAAAAAAAAAAATAATTTTTGATAATAAAAAAAAAAATCAAATTAATTTTGAAAAAAATAATATTATTTTTTTTTTTAATAATTCATATAAAACTTTTTGTTCTAATTTTGAATTATTTTTTAATAAAAAATTATCAATTTATAAAAAAAATCAAGAAATTAAAATTCAAGAAACTCCAATTTTTAATACTTTATTAAAACAAAAGATTAATATTTTTTTAAATCAAAAATTTTTATTATTTAAAAAAATTTTTTAATAGTTAATTAATTTTTTAATTAACTTTAAAATAAGTGTATAGCTCAGTTGGTAGAGCACCGGACTTTTAATCCGATGGTCTTGGGTTCAAGTCCCAATACACTTATTGGGGATATATTTCAACTGGTAGAAAGTATGTTTTGCAAATATAAGGTTATCGGTTCGAATCCGATTATCTCCATATTTATTTTTATTATATAATTTTATGCAAAAAAAAATTAAAAAAAATATCAAACAACGTTATTTATTCAAAAATTTTGAAAAAAATAGATTAATATTAAAAATTCTTTCAAAAAATTTAAATATTGATAAAGATCTAAGATGGAAATTGCAACAAAAATGGTTTTTTTTCCATCAAAATTCATCAATTACTAGAATTAAAAATTTATGTGTTTTAACGGGTCGTTCTAAAAGTATATATCGTTTATTTAAAATTTCTAGAATACAATTACGTAAATTAGCATCTAAAGGTTTTTTACCAGGTATTTCAAAATACAGTTGGTAATTTTTATTATGATTATTACAGATACTCTTTCAAATTTATTTTCAAAAATAAAAAACGGTTATTTAGCAAAAAAATCAAAAATAGTACAACAAAAATCAAAACAAAGTATAAATATTTTAAATATTTTAGTTAAAGAAGGTTTTATAAAAAGTTATAAAATAAATTCAAAAAATCAAATGGATATTTACCTAAAATATCGAAAAAATAAAGCAGTTATAACAGAAATAAAACGTTTATCAAAACCGGGAAAACGTTTATATATTGCTAATAAAGATTTATATAAAAAAAAAACAGGATTTTATATCCTTTCAACTTCAATAGGTATTTTAACAGATTTACAAGCTAAAAAATTAAATGTTGGCGGTGAATTAATCTGTAAAATTTCTTAAGATTAAAAAAAAATTATGATTAAAATATTAAAAAAAAATAAAACAATAAAAAATAAAAATTTTTTTAAAAGCTCTTTAGGAAATATTCAACTTTTTTTTATAGATAAAACTTTTATTGTTCCAACTGAAATAAAAATTTATAATAAAGATAAAATAATTTTTTTTGAAACTTCTTTAGGTTTATTATCTTTAAAAATTATTGATAATTTATTCTTTTTTATAAAAAAAAATAAATTATTAATAAATATTAATATAAATAAAAATAAAAAAAGTATTTTAAATTTATATAATAAACTAATTAAAATAAAAATAAAAGGTGTTTCTCAAGGTTTTAAAATCAGTTTACTTTTAAAAGGGATTGGTTTTAAATCTTATATTGAAAATAATAATTTAATTTTAAAATTAGGATTTAGTCACAATATTGTAATACCTATTCCGAAAAATATTGAAATTATTAATCAAGCAAATACCTTAATTTTTAGTAGTATAGATTTTATTTTTTTAAGTCAATTTGTACATTATATTAAAAATCATAAAAAACCTGAACCATATAAAGGTAAAGGTTTATTATTAAAAAATGAAAAAATTTTACAAAAAGAAGGTAAAAAAAGTAAAAAATAATTAAATATGATACAAAAAAAAAAAAAAAATAATAATAATATTTTATTAAATTTATTATTTAAATCGAAGAATATGTATGGGGATTCATTAACTTATACAAATAAAGAAATATTACCTTTTATATATGGTAGTCGATATGATTATACAATAATTAATTTAAAAGATGTTTCATTTTTTTTAAAACGTATATTTAAATTAATAAAAAATATTATACAAAAAAATGAAAAAATTTTAATAATAGGAAATGCAGATGAAGTTCATTTTTTATTAAATACAGCTTTTATAAAAAAAAATAGAAATCTTATTTTTTTTAATAAAGAATGGATAAATGGTTTAATTACTAATAAAATTATGGACACAACATTTAATAAAGTAATTAATTATTTAATTAAAGAAAATGAAATAAAATTAGTTTTAATAATTAAAAGTTCAATTAAAGATACTTTTTTAAATCAAGAACTTTCTACTTTAAAAATTCCAACTATTTCGTTAATTAATACAAATCAGACAATAAAAAATATAAATTATCCTATAATAACAAATTCTAAAAATATTCAATCAATATATACTTTAATGTATTTATTACGTAAAATATTTTAATAAAATATTATGAATAAATTAAAACCAAGAAATAAAATATGTTTTCAAAATAATAAAAACATTCATAAAAACTTAAACTTATTAAAATTAAAATCAAAAAAATGGAATTTATTTAAAAAAAAATTAAGATATAGAAAAGAAATTAAACCTGAAAAACGAAAAAAATTTTTTCAAAAAAGATTATTTGAAAAACAGCAATTTAGAAATTTTTATGGTTGTATTCATGAATATCAATTAAAAAATATATTTAAAAAATTATCAAAAAAAGATAATAAAATAAATATATTTAAAAAATTTGTTATATTATTAGAAAGCCGTTTAGATATAAATCTTGTTAGATTGAAACTTGTAAAAACAGTATTTCAAGCTAAACAATTAATTAATCATAAAAAAATTAAAGTTAATAATAAAATTATAAATAAACCAAATTTTATATTACAAAAAGGTGATATTATTTATATTATTAAATAAATAAAAATATGCAAAAATTTCAAAAAAATTATCAAAAAAATAAAAAATTTAATAAACAATATTTTAATCATAAAAAAAATAAATATCCATATTTTTATAAAAAAAAAAATAAAAATTCCTATAAAAATAGTATTTATTACCTTTTAGGTGAAAAAAAACCATTAAAACCATTAACAACCGCATATTTACATAGAAATAAAAAAATAAAAACAGGTATTTTTTTTAAAGAACCTACATTTAAAACTATTTTATATCCTTTCTATTTAAATTTAAAATTAATTAATGAATATTTAAAAAAAAAATAAAAATTTAAACCATTTAAATGGTTTAAGTATTAATAATAAAAGCATTAAGTGGATGCCTTGGCATTAATTTAATTTTTAGGACGTAAAAAATGCGAAAAGCTATATTAAATATTATATTATTTTGAAATATAGATTTCCTAAAGAAAACTATTTCTTTGTGAAATTTTAAAAAACAGTGAATTGAAATATCTAAGTAACTGTTAAAAAAATCAAACGAGATTCCGTGAGTAATGACGAATGAAAATGGAAATTAGGTTTATAAAAATAAAATTAATTATTTGAAAAATTTTGAAAAATTTACTTAAAAAGGTGAAAGTCCTGTAAAATAATTAATATTTTTATTATAGTAAAAAGAGGTATGTGTAATCTTTTTTGAATATTGGGGGACCACCCTCAAAACCTTTTAAAAATTAATGATCGATAGTGAACAAGTACTGTAAAGGAAAGGTGAAAAAGAACTTTTGAGTTTGAAATAATTCTGAAACTTAATGTTAACAATCAATTGAAACTTTTTTAAAAAGTGACAATGTACCTTTTGCATAATGGGCCAGCAAGTTTATTTTTATAGCAAGCTTAAATTAAAAATGTAGGCGTAGATAAATCAAGTTTTAAAAAGCTTTTTAGTTATATAAATAAGACCCGAAACTGAGTGATCTAACCATGAACAGATTGAAAAATAGGTAAAACTATTTGGAGGATCGAACTCACATATGTGGCAAAATATGGAGATGATTTGTGGTTAGGAGTGAAAGGCTAATCAAACTCAGAGATAGCTGGTTTTCCGCGAAATCTATTGAAGTAGAGCATTTAAAATCTTTTTTTGGGGTAGAGCACTCATTGAGCTAGGGGGCGTAAAAACTTACTGAATTCTTGGAAACTCCGAATACAAAAAAATGAAATTTAAATAGACAGACATTAGGCGCTAAGGTCTTTTGTCAAGAGGGAAACAGCCCAGATTGATCGCTAAGGTCTCTAAATAATATTCTAAGTGAAAAAGGAAGTGAAAAAATGATTACAACCAGTAGGTAGGCTTGGAAGCAGCCATCCTTTAAAGAAAGCGTAATAGCTCATTGGTCTAGTTTTTTTGCGCCTAAAATGTATCGAGACTTAAGAAATTTACCGAAGCGGCAAGTTTTATTTTATATTAATAAAACGGTAGCGGAACATTCTGTATGTTAATAAAGATATATTGTGAAATATGTTGAAGATATCAGAAAAGAAAATGCTGGCATTAGTAACAAAAAATAACGAATATGAATCGTTATCACCGTAAATCCAAGGGTTTCTATGTTAAAATGCATTGCATAGAGTGAAACGGCCCCTAAGAAAGATTTGACGAAAGCAAATTTTGATGGGATAATTTTTAAATTAAATTTTTTTAAAAAAGTGACAAAAATTTTTAATTTTTCAGGAAATAGCTTTTTTAATTAAAAACCGTACCCTAAACCGACACAGGTGGATAGGTCGAGTAGACTAAGGTGAATGAGAGAACTATATTGAAGGAACTCGGCAAAATGACTTTGTAACTTCGGGATAAAAAGTACCTAATTATTTTATATAATTAGGTGTCACAAAATAGGGGGTTGCGACTGTTTAATAAAAACTTAGGACTCTGCTAAATGGTAACATGATGTATAGGGTCTGACACCTGCCCGGTGCTGGAAGATTAAAAGGAGATGTTTGCGCATTAAATGGAAGTCCCAGTAAACGGCGGCCGTAACTCTGACGGTCCTAAGGTAGCGAAATTCCTTGTCGGGTAAGTTCCGACCTGCATGAATGGTGTAACGACATCCCCGCTGTCTCCAATATAGACTCAGTGAATTTGAATTATCCGTGAAGATGCGGATTCTCTATAGTTAGACGGAAAGACCCCGTGAACCTTTACTACATCTTTATATTGTTATTTTATTTAATATGTGTAGTATAAGTGGTAATCGTTTAGACCTTTACGCTAGTAAATTGTTTAGATATCTTTGAAATACCACTCTTATTAAAATAAATAACTAATATTTTTAAAATAGACAGTGTATGGTTGGTAGTTTGACTGGGGCGGTCACCTCCTAAAGAGTAACGGAGGTGTACAAAGGTAAGCTCAAATTGGATAATAGTATCAATTGTAGAGCATAATGGTAAAAGCTTGCTTGACTGTAAGATAGACATATCAAACAGGGACGAAAGTCGGTCATAGTGATCCGATAATTCTTTGTGGAAAGATTATCGCTCAACGGATAAAAGGTACTCCGGGGATAACAGGCTGATGACTCCTAAGAGCTCCTATCGACGGAGTCGTTTGGCACCTCGATGTCGACTCATCACATCCTGGAGCTGAAGAAGGTTCCAAGGGTTCGGCTGTTCGCCGATTAAAGTGGTACGTGAGTTGGGTTTAGAACGTCGTGAGACAGTTTGGTTCCTATCTTCTATAGATATTTTGAAAAATGAAAGAATCTAACTCTAGTACGAGAGGACCGAGAAGGGTAAATCTCTGGTGTATCGGTTGTTGAAAGGCATCGCCGAGTAGCTAAATTTATTTTGGATAATTACTGAAAGCATCTAAGTAAGAAACCATTCTTAAAAATTTTTCATATAAAAACTGTAAAAGATGATTACATTGATAGGTTTTAAGTGTAAATATTGTAAAATATGTAGCTTAAAAATACTAAAAGTTTTATATTTTAAAATATAAATATTTCTTTGTAGCTCAACGGTAGAGCAAATGGCTGTTAACCATTAGGTTGTAGGTTCAAATCCTATCAAAGAAGTTTTATATTTTAGGTCGAATAGCCAAGTCAGGTTTAAGGCAGTAGTTTGCTAAACTATCAGTTAATTTATTAACTCGTGGGTTCAAATCCCACTTCGACTTATTTTATTAATATAAAAATAGGATAGGATGATGTAGTTTAATGGTAGAGCGTGGGAATCATAATCCTAATGTTGTAGGTTCAAATCCTACCATCATTATTTTTTTTTTAATAAAAATATATTATAACAAATATTGCCTTTAAACGGAAGGTAGCATAGTCTGGCTAATGCATCTGTTTTGGGAACAGAAGATCAAAGGTTCAAATCCTTTTCTTCCGAAAACAGGCAATAAGATGAGATAGAGTAATAGGTTAACTTATCAGGCTCATAATCTGAAGATGTAGGTTCAAATCCTACTCTCATCATTTAATTATTCTAAAATTTATGATTCAAATTCAAACTAAATTAAAAGTAAATGATAATAGTGGTATTAAAATAGGACAATGTATAAAAATATATAAAAAAAAGGTGGGTAAAATTGGTGATACAATTTTAATTTCTTCAAAAAAATTACGTTTAAATCAAAAAAAAAAAATTAAAATAGTTAAAGGGGATTTATTTAAAGCTTTAATTATTCATACAACATATCAAAAAAAAAGTACAATAGGTAATTTAATAAAATTTGATAAAAATTGTATAATTATTTTAAATAATCAAAATAAACCTTTAGGTACACGTATTTTTGGTCCAATTACTTCCGAATTTAGAAAACAAAAAAATTTCAAAATATTATCATTAGCTTCAAATATTTTATAAAAATCTATGGAAAAAAATTTACAAAATCATTATCAAAATGTTACTATATACGATCTTTTAACAAAATTAAATTTTAAAAATATATTTGAAATTCCTAAAATCACTAAAATTTGTTTAAATATTGGTTTTAAAGATGCAAATATTGAAAAAAAAAAATTAATTAATATAATATTACTTTTAAAATTAATAACAAATCAAAAACCTATAATAACTAAATCAAAAAAAAATATTATTTTTTTAAAAATTAAAAAAAATTCAATAATAGGTTGTAAAATAACTTTAAGGAAAAAAAAAATTTTTAATTTTTTAGAAAAATTTTTAATTTTTGTTTTACAAAATATTACTAAAATAAATTTTAATTTTAAAAATAAAAATATTTTAAATTTTCAAATTCAAAATATTTTATATTTTTTTGAATTAAAAACGGAATTTTTAAAATTTAAAAATATTCCACCAATTGATGTATCCATTCATACGAATGCTAAAAATTCTAATGAATTGTTTTTATTATTAAATTCACTTTTTATAATTAAAAAATAATTTATTGCAAAAATAGCTCAATGGTAGAGTATAACCTTGCCAAGGTTAATGTTGAGGGTTCGAATCCCTTTTTTTGCTTTTAATATTAAAATATAAAATGGACCCAAAGGCAGTATTTGGTATTTCCATATTGTAAATTAATAGGGAATAATAATAGAATTGACATTTATTTGTGATTATAGATTAATTGGTAAATCCTTTATCTTCCAAGTAAATATTGTGGGTTCGAGTCCCACTAATCACAATTAATTTTAATATAGGAGAAATGGCTGAGTGGTTAAAAGCGGCAGACTGTAAATTTGTTGAAGTAATTTCTACGTAGGTTCAAATCCTACTTTCTCCATTTTTCAGTATATATATATATTTAAGGAAAAATTATACATTAAAAAATAAAAAATTATCTATTCTTTAAGATAATATAAGATAAAAATTAATATAAGAATGTTATATTATTAAATTTTTAAATATTTTGTTATTTTAAAAATTAATATTAAATAATTAATATAAAAGTTAAATAGAGTTTGATCCTGGCTCAGAATAAATGCTATCGGTATGCTTAACACATGCAAGTCGAATGTTTTAAAAACATGGCGAACGGGTGAGTAACACGTGAATAATCTACCTTTTAATTCAGGATAATTATTTTTATAAAAATACTGAATAAATAAATTAAAGTTTTAAAAACGTTAAAAGATGAGTTTGCGCAAGATTATGGTAGTTGGTAGTTTAATAGACTACCAAGCCTATTATCTTTAGCTGGTTTGAAAGAATGATCAGCCACATTGGGACTGAGACACGGCCCAAACTTTTTTAAAGGCAGCAGTGGGGAATTTTGGACAATGAGCGAAAGCTTGATCCAGCAATACCGAGTGAGTGATGACGGCTAATTAGGTTGTAAAGCTCTTTCATTAAGGAGGAAAATGACAGTACTTAAAAAAGAAGTTCCGGCTAATACCCGTGCCAGCAGCCGCGGTAATACGGGAGGAGCGAGCATTATTCGGAATGATTAGGCGTAAAGGGTTTGTAGGTGGTTTTTTAAGTTGAAAGAAACAAATTAAAGCTCAACTTTATACATTTTTTCAAAACTGATAAACTGGAGTATAAATAGAGGATAATGGAATTTCTATTGGAGTGATAAAATACGTTGATAATAGAAGGAAGACCTATGGCGAAGGCAATTATCTGGGTATATACTGACACTGAGAAACGAAAGCTTGGGTAGTGAACGGGATTAGAGACCCCGGTAGTCCATGCTGTAAACGATGAGTGCTAATATTTAGAATTTTTAGATATAACAGCTAACGCGTTAAGCACTCCGCCTGAAAAGTATAATCGCAAGATTGAAATTCAAAGGAATTGACGGGAGTCTACACAAGCGGTGGAGCATGTGGTTTAATTCGATAATACGCGCAGAACCTTACCAACTCTTGCTAATTTTTATATAAAAATTTATATAAAAAACAGGCGTTGCATGGCTGTCGTCAGCTCGTGTTGTGAAATGTTTGGTTAAATCCCTTAACGAGCGCAACCCCTATTGTTAGTTACTAATTTATTATAAAATATTAAAAGTACTCTAACAAAAAGATTAATGATAGGTTAATGGAAGGTGGGGATGACGTCAAGTCTTCATGGCCCTTATGAGTTGGGCTACACACGTGCTACAATGATAATCACAATGAGAGGCAATAATGATAAAAGTTGGAGCAAATCTTTAAAAATTATCTTAGTTCGGATTAAGGGCTGAAACTCGCCCTTATGAAGTTGGAATCGCTAGTAATCGCAGAACAGCATGCTGCGGTGAATATGTTACTGGACTTTGTACACACCGCCCGTCACATCAGGGAAGTTGATTATTTTTAAAATGATTCTTAATTATTTATTATAATTAAATAATTATTTAATTATAATAATTTATAATTTATATTAAATAAATTAAAATTCCTAAAAAGTAATTAGTAACTTTGATGAAGTCGTAACAAGGTAGTCGTAGGGGAACCTGTGTCTGGAAGAGATCTTTAAAACATTCTTAAATTAATTTTTAAAATTAAAGGAAAATAGTTTAATTGGTAAAATCATAGTCTCCAAAATTATTGTTATGGGTTCAAGTCCCATTTTTCCTGTTTTATATTTAAATAAAATATTATAAATCAAAAAAATTTTATAAAATCTGAAATTAATTAAATTCAAGCTATAAAAATAAAATTTTATTTAAAATACTTTTTAACAAAAGGGAATTTAAATTTAGATTTATAATATTTTATTTAAATATAAAAAAAATATTTAATGTGAATAATATCAATTTATTCGATAACGTTTTTATAAATCTAACATTAAATACTTTTTAATAGTATAATCTAAGTACTATTAATTTTGATATAGTAATTATAATTAAATAGTTTTAAAAAATATCTAAGCAATAATTATTAAATATTTTTTTTGAATTTAAATAATATAAATATATAAAATTATCATAAAATAGTTAAATTAAAAATATTTAAATATTTGTTTAAAATTTATAAATTCTTTATTCTTTAAGAAGAAGTATTTTAATTTAAAAATACTTTAACAATATTTTTTTCTATTATGTTATTATTAACTTTAATTTTTTTACCTTTTTTAGGTTCAGTATCCGCTGGATTATTTGGGTTTTATATTGGACGTAAAGGTTCAGTATTTATAACTACATTAACAACTTTTTTAAGTTGTCTTTTTTCATTAATTATTATTTATAATTCAATAACAAATGAATATGAATATATTATTTATATTTCAAATTGGATTAGTAGTGGTTTATTTAATTGTAATTGGTGTTTTTTATTTGATAGTTTAACTATGGTTATGCTTGTTGTTGTAACAAGTATTTCAACATTAGTTCATTTATATTCTTCACAATATATGGCCCATGATCCTCATTTATCTAGATTTATGTCATATTTATCATTATTTACTTTTTTTATGATAATATTAGTAACTGGTGATAATTTTATCCAAATGTTTGTTGGATGGGAAGGTGTTGGTTTTTGTTCTTATTTATTAATTAATTTTTGGTTTACACGTTTACAAGCAAATAAGGCTGCTATTAAAGCTATGTTGGTTAATAGAATTAGTGATTTAATTTTATTATTAGGTGTATTAACAATTTTTTATAATATAAGAACTATTGAATATTTTAGTACTTTTGCGGCTATTTCTATAGTAAAAGATTTTAAATTTATTTTTTTTAATTATATTTTAAGTATTGTTGATGTAGCTTGTATTTTAATTTTTATAGGTGCCATGGGTAAATCTGCACAAATTTTTTTACATTTATGGTTACCTGATGCAATGGAAGGTCCTACACCCGTTTCTGCATTAATTCATGCGGCAACAATGGTAACTGCTGGTGTGTATTTAACCGCAAGATGTTCACCTATGTTTGAATTTTCAATGTTTTCTTTAAAAGTTATTACTGTTATAGGTGCTTCAACTGCCTTTTTTGCAAGTACTGTTGGTTTAGTTCAAAATGATTTTAAAAAAATAGTTGCATATTCTACTTGTAGTCAATTAGGTTATATGTTTTTTGCTTGTGGTTTATCTAATTACCCACTAGCTATTTTCCATTTATCAAATCATGCATATTTTAAAGCATTATTATTCTTATGTTCAGGTGCTGTAATTCATGCAATGGGTGATGAACAGGATATTAGAAAAATGGGTGGTTTAAGACGTATTTTACCTTTTACTTATATAATGTTTTTAATTGGTTCATTATCGTTAATGGGTTTTCCTTTTTTAACAGGATTTTATTCTAAAGATTTAATTTTAGAAGTAGCTTTTGCAAGTTTTAGCGAAACAGGACATTTTGCTTATTGGTTAGGTACTATAGGTGCTTTTTTTACCGCTTTTTATTCAACTCGTTTATTATTTTTTGCTTTTTTAAGTGAAACAAATGCATATAAAAATATAATTAAAAATGCGCATGATGTTCCATTAGAAATGGGTATTCCTTTAGGTTTATTAGCTTTTGGTAGTATTTTTATAGGTTATATTTCTAAAGATATGTTTGTAGGTTTAGGTTCAAATTTTTGGAATAATTCTATTTTTATAGACCCATTAAATAATCAAATGATTGATGCTGAATTTTTACCAACCTTTTTTAAATTATTACCGGTTATTTTAAGTTTTTGTGGATTATTTAGTGCTTTTTATTTATACTTTTTTAAATTTAAATTTTTATATAATTTAAAAATTTCAGAATATGGTCTTTATTTTTATAATTTTTTAAATAGAAAATGGTATTTTGATAAAATTTATTATGAATTTATAAATCAATACATATTACAAATCGGTTATAATGTTACATATAAAATGATTGATAAAGGTTTAATTGAGATTTGTGGTCCTTACGGTTTAACAACAATTTTTGCTTTTTTAAGTCAAAGAATAATTTTATTACAAACAGGTTATATTTATCATTATTCATTATTAATGTTAATTAGTACTATTTTTTTAATAAATATTATTTTTTTTTCTATCATTTATTATTTTAATGTAATTACTATTTTATTATTTTTATTTATTTTTTTATTAATTAAATAAAAATAATAAAATATATCTTTTAAGATATAATATAAATTATATATAAATAAAATATTATGGATTTTGAAACAATTTTCTTTTATACTTTTTCAACTATAGCTTTAACTTCAGCTATTTTTGTAATATATTCTACAAATACAATATATTCTGCATTTTTTTTAATATTAGTTTTTACAAATTCAACAGGATTATTATTAATTTCAGAAGTTGAATTTTTATCAATAATGTTAATTATAATATATGTAGGAGCAATTACTGTATTATTTTTATTTGTAATTATGATGTTAGATGTTAATGTTTTAATTGATAAAAATAAAATTAATAATAATTTTGGGTATTTACCTATTATTTTTTTAATAAGTTTTATTTTTTTCTTAGAAACATTTATAATGTTTAGTAAAGTTTTTACATCATATTATCATATAGTAAATAATTCTTTTTTTAATCAAGAAGTAAATACTTTATTTTTTTTCAAAGATAGTATGAAAGGTACTTTTGAAATATTTGTTGACGTAAAACCTTTTTTAAAAAATTTTATAAATCAATTAGATACGATTACAAATATTGAAACAATAGGACAAATTTTATACAGTTATTATGCTTTTTTTTTTTTAGCGGCGGGTATTATATTATTAATAGCTTTAATAGGTGCAGTAACTTTAACTAAAAAAGAAAAAAAAAAAAATTTTAAACAAAATATTTATAAACAACTTTCAAGAGATTCATTAAAAGCTATTTTTAATGTACATTCTCATAAAATTGTTTAATAATATAATAATAAAACTAAACACAACCTTAACTTAATTGGTAGAGTATTAGCCTTCTAAGCTTTAAAATCTTGGTTCGAGTCCAAGAGGTTGTAAATAGTTTTATTATAATTATTTATGTATATACGTATCCTATTAATTATCAAAAAAATTATGAAAATTATTTTTTATTAATTAAAAATAAAAAAAAGAATTCAAAAATTTTATCAAGATATAAATCAAAGAAGAATAATATTAAAACGTCAACATATCTTATATGCAAGGGTTGTTTATTAGTATTGAAGGCTTTAGAAATATCTTTTATAGGTTGGGGTAGCTTGTTAATAATAATATTAAGTGAAATAGCAATTTTTTCTTTTAAATCAATACATTCAATTACTAAATGCTTCTTAAAAATAGGTGTATTGTGTTACTATTTAGCAAATAGTAACATATTTATGATTAATTTCCTACATTTTATTTAAATATAGAAAATTAATCAATACCAATAAATTTTATTTATATTTTTTAGATTATTTTACCATTCTAAAGCATCACTACACCAAATATAAACAAAACCTATAACTAATTCAACTAAAAATTCAATCATTGTCCAAAATCCCCATGAAAAATTTGAACTTAAAGTTAAAACCCAAGGAAAAACAAAAACAGCTTCTAAATCGAAAATAATAAAAAGAATAGCTACTAAATAAAATTTTACATCGAAAACTTTTCTAGCATCATCATAAGGATTAAATCCACATTCATAAGCTGTTAACTTTTCTAAATCATCTTTTTGCTTAATTAAACCAAAAGATAAAATGAAAATTAAAATTGATAAAAATAAACTTAATATTAAAAATATAAAAATGTTTGAATAATTTAATAACATATTTGTAAAAATTTTTTAATATAATATAATTATACGGAAAAAACGGGACTCGAACCCGCGACCTATAGCGTGACAAGCTACCACTCTAACCAACTGAGCTACTTTTCCTTTATAGGGATATTATTTTTTATTTTAACACTTATTAGTGTAAATTTAAAGCATCATTTATATACATACATGTTAATATAGTAAACACGTAAGCTTGTATTAAAGCTACAGCAATTTCTAAACCAACTAATAATACGATAATTATTAAAGGAATAAAATGGGCAATAAAAATAAAACTATTTACATTTAACATTGTCCAAGCAAAACCTGCAATTACTTTTAATAATGTATGTCCTGCCATCATATTTGCAAATAATCGTACAGGTAAACTAATCACACGAAAAATATAAGAAACTAATTCAATAGGTACTAAAATAGGCACTAATGCTATACTTGCACCACTTGGTAATAATAAATTTAAAAAATTTAATTTATGTTTTTTAATTCCAATTATATTAAAACCTAAATAAATAGTTAATGCTAAAGTAAAAGTAATAATTAAATGACTAGTTACTGTAAAACTATAAGGAACCATACCAATTAAATTACATAATAAAATAAAAAAAAAAACAACAAAAATTAATGAAACAAAATGTTTACCAGCTTTTCCTATACTTGAATAAGTTAATTCTATAGTAACATTAAAGATCATTTCAAAAATTTGTTGAAAACGTGTTGGAATAAATTTAGTTTTTATACATGTAAAAATATATAAATAAACTATACCTATTACTAAAATTAGAGAAGCATTAGTAAATATAAAAGGTATTTGAAAAATAGGTAAAATTTCAAATTGTTCTAAAGGACTAAACATAAAATTTTTTTTTATTTTTTAATAAAATTAATTACCACCCCACCAATAAACAGCTACAAATAAAAATAACCAAACAACATCAACAAAATGCCAATACCAAGCAGCAGCTTCAAAACCGAAATGATGCTGTTTTGTAAAATGATGATTAATTAATCTAATAGTACTTACTACTATAAAAATAGTACCTACAATAACATGAATACCATGAAAACCTGTTAATAAGAAAAATGTAGTACCATAAATACTATCAGAAATAGAAAAAGTACTTTCAATATATTCATAAGCTTGTATTAATGTAAAAAAAAAAGCTAATAATATTGTAATAATTAAACTTAAAATAGCATTTTTTCTATCACCAAAAACGATTGAATGGTGTGCCCAAGTAATTGTTGCTCCTGATGATAATAAAATTATTGTATTTAATAAAGGTATACCCCAAGCATTTACAGTTTCAATACCTAATGGTGGCCATAATGATCCGATTTCTGGAGTTGGTGCTAAAGCTGAATGGAAAAATGCCCAAAAAAAACTAACAAAAAATAATAATTCACTAAAAATAAATAAAAGCATACCATTACGTAAACCTAATTGAACTTGTTTAGTATGTTGACCTTCATATACAGCTTCTCTAACAATATCACGAAACCAAGTATACATAGTTAAAATAACCATTAAAAATCCTGTTAAAGTTAAAAGATTACTACCTATATAACCATGAAAATACATAGCACCACCAAAAGTTAAAAAGAAAAGTCCAAATGATATTACAAAAGGCCATGGACTTGGATCTACTAAATGATAAGGATGGTTTTGTGTATTTTGTGTATTTTTTGTAATTTTTTTTAAAAATGTTAAATCATTTTTGAATTTTTCGATATTAGAATCATTAGTTGTTGTTTCAATTTGTAAATTTTTTTTATTAATATAATAATAATTTTTCATAAAATTTGAATAATAGTAATAATTTATTATTTAATGATAAATAATTTCTTTATATTTTTATAAATAAATTAATCAAAAATAAGATTAAATTTTAATTTTTTAATATTTTTATAATATTGTTTTTTTGTATTAATCGTTTTACTTTTATTTTTTGAAGTTTGAATTATTTCATTTACTATATTTTTTAAATTAGCATTTAAAAGTAACCAAGATACTGATTTTTTAATTTGTTTATCTTCATTTAAAAGCATTAAAAAATATCTATCTTTTTTTTTATTTTTTTTATTTCTTTTTTTATTTGGAATACTAATTGCTTTTAATTTAGGTAATAAATTATCAATTGATTTAAATAAAATAAAATTAGGTTTTTGTTTTGTAGTTTTTTTTAAATTAATTAAAATATTTTTAAATATGTTTTCTGAACAGGTTTTTTTACCTTTTTTTAATAACATATTTATAAATAATTTTTTTATTTTATACTCTTCGTATTTTAGTTCCATATTTTGATCTTGATGTTTTTCGAGAATAAATTCCTAATAAATCGTATTTACCACGAATTATGTGGTATTTTACTCCAGGTAAATCTTTAACACGACCACCACGAACCAATACTATTGAATGTTCTTGTAAAGTATGTCCTATACCAGGGATATAAGTAATTATTGTATATCTACTTGATAAATGAACTTTAGCTACTTTACGCATAGCAGAGTTTGGTTTTTTAGGTGTTGTATTATAAACTTTTAAACAAATACCCTTACGTTGGGGGCATTGTTTTAAAGCCGGACTTTTATTTCGTTTTTTTTTTTCTAAACGTTTTTGTTTTTTAAAAAATAATTGATTAATTGTTGACATATTTAAAAAATATTATTTTTAATTTGAATAATAACGGACTCGAACCGCTAACATTTTCGGTGTAAACGAAATACTCTACCAATTGAGCTAATTATTCTTTGGGCCTAAGTAGATTTGAACTACTGACTTTACACTTATCAGGCGTATACTCTAACCAACTGAGTTATAGGCCCTTTTGAAGTAAAAGGATTCGAACCTTTGATTTTCCGTACCAAAAACGGAGGCCTTACCACTTGGCTATACTTCAAAATAAAGCAAATATATGCTTAGAAAGACTCGAACTTTCATTTTATAGATCCGCAATCTAACGCTTTATCCAATTAAGCTATAAGCATAATTTTATTTTTGTTTTTTTATAATTTTAATATTCATTAATAAATTTTCAGATAAATTTTTTTTTATTAAAATTATAAAATTTAATAATTGAAAAATATTTTTAAATTTTATATCAATTTTTGGTTTAAAACTTTTATTAATAAAATGTTCACGTGATTTTTTATTAACATGTGGTGATTTTAATAAAGTAAAAATTTTATTTTTATTTTTTGTTTGAAATATTCCAGATATTTGGATATTTTTTAATTTATTAATTTTTTTTAATTTTAATAAATTTTGTTTAAGTTGATTAATTTTTTGAAAGGATTTAAAAGTTATTCTTAAAAGATACATATTTTTAATAATAAAAATTGTCTGGAGGTGGATTTGAACCACCGACACAAAGATTTTCAGTCTTTTACTCTAACCAACTGAGCTATCCAGACTAAATATTATATTAATAAATATAAATAAATTTTATTTAAATTTACTAATATAATATTTGGTGAAACAAATAAAAATAAAATAAATTGAGTATTAATTAATAATATAATACTTTGTATTTTATCAATTTGTGAAATATACATTTTTCTTAATATTTTTTCAAAATAAATAATTTTTATTATTTTTAAATAATAAAAAGAACTTAATACACTTATAATAATACCAAAAAAAACTAAACTAAAATAATTATTTTTGATAGCAGAAAAAAATATAAATAATTTTGAAAAAAAACCAGCTAATGGTGGTATACCAGCTAATGAAAAAATATTTAAAATTATAATAATAGCAATTAATTTATTTATAGTATAAATATTTGATAAATCAGTTAAGTATTTAATTGGTTTATGATTTATATTTAAAGATAAATAAGATGTCCATAAATTAATACTTGTTATAATATAAATAATAACATATAATAAAATAAATGGTATATTATTTAACATATTTGAAGTAAATCCTATTAAGATAAAACCTACATGACTAATAGAACTATAAGCTAATAATCTTTTAATTTTTTTTTGCTGTAATGCTGATAATGCACCAATTAACATAGATAAAAAAGAAATTATATAAAAAAAAATTTCAAAAAAATATGAAATATTATAAAAAATTTCAAAAAATAAACGAATTAAAATACCAATAAAAGCAATTTTTGGAACAATAGCAAAAAAACTCGAAATATTATTAGGAGCCCCTTCATACACATCAGGTAACCAAAAATGAAAAGGTGATGCACCTATTTTAAATAGAATACCAACAAAAATAAAAATTAATCCGTATGATATACTTATTAATAAATTAATATTATCTAAAAAATTAATATTTGATAATATTAAGAAAATATTATTAAAATTTAAAGAACCGGTTATTGCATAAATTATTGAAGAACCAAATAATATAAAACCTGAAGCAATTGATCCTAAAATAAAATATTTTAAACCAGCTTCAATTGATAATATAGATTTTTTTTGGGTAGAAGTTAATATATAAAAACTTAAACTTTGTAATTCAATTGCTAAATATAAAGTAATAAAATGATTAGAAGATACTAATAGCATTAAACCTAATAATGATATTAACATTAATATATTAATTTCATATGTATTTATTTTTTGATGTATTAAATATTTTTGTTGAATTAAAAAACAAATAATTGTTGATAAAATTAAAATTATTTTAATAAATTGGGTAAAATTATTAATAATTAATACACCATTTAATATATTATTTGAAATATTTGTTATATTTGATGTTAATATTAAAAGAATTAATAATAAATATATTATTATAGTAGTAATATTTTTAATAATCAAAATTTTTTGAGTATTTTGATTTTTTTTATAAAAAACTCCAAATAATAATAAAATTAATAAAACAGTTGTTAAAAAAAATTCGGGAATAATAATTTCAAAATTATTATTAAAAATTTCTTGAAAAATCATAGTAAAATTATAAAAGAAATAAATATTTTAAAAATATTTACTTACTATATATGCTATATATTTATAAAAAAATTATTTTATAAATATTTTTTTTTATTAAAAAAAAAATATTTAAAATGCCTTTAAAAAAAATTAAAAATTTTTCTATAAATTTTGGTCCACAACATCCAGCAGCTCATGGTGTTTTACGTTTAATTTTAGAGTTAAATGGGGAAGTAGTACAAAAAGCTGATTCTCATATAGGATTATTACATCGTGGTACGGAAAAATTAATTGAATATAAAAATTATTTACAAGCTTTACCTTACTTTGATAGATTAGATTATGTATCAATGATGTGTCAAGAACATGCTTATGTTTTAGCAATTGAAAAATTATTAAATTGTAATGTTCCTTTAAGAGCTCAATATATTAGAGTTTTATTTTCTGAAATAACACGTATTTTAAATCATTTATTAGCTGTATGTTGTCATGCTTTAGATGTTGGAGCTATGACACCATATTTTTGGGGATTTGAAGAACGTGAGAAATTAATGGAATTTTATGAAAGAGTTTCTGGTGCACGTATGCATGCAGCTTATTTTAGACCTGGTGGTGTTAATCAAGATTTACCTAAAGGTTTATTAAATGATATTTATATTTTTTGTGAGCAATTTAATACAAGATTAGATGAGATAGAAGAAATGTTAACAAATAATAGAATTTGGAAACAAAGATTAGTTGATATTGGTGTTGTTTCTTCTAAAGATGCCTTAAATTTAGGTTTTAGTGGTGTAATGTTACGTGGTTCAGGTATATCATGGGATTTACGTAAAACGCAACCTTATGAAATTTATGATCAATTAGATTTCGATATCCCAGTAGGTACAAATGGTGATTGTTATGATCGTTATTTAATTAGAATAGAGGAAATGCGTCAATCTATTAGAATTATTTTTCAAGTACTTAATAAAATTCCAACAGGTCCTATTAAATTGGATGATAAAAAAATTACAAATCCAAATAGAATAGAAATTAAAAATTCAATGGAATCTTTAATTCATCATTTTAAATATTATTCTGAAAATATTAGTGTAAATAGTGGTGAAACTTATACAGTTATTGAAGCTCCTAAAGGTGAATATGGTGTTTATTTAGTATCAGATGGGACTAATAAACCTTATAGATGTAAAATTAAATCACCAGGTTTCTTACATTTACAAGCATTAGATTTTATAGCTAAAAATCATATGATTGCTGATGTAGTTACAATTATAGGAACACTAGATGTTGTTTTTGGTGAAATTGATCGTTAATTAAAAATTATAAATAAATGTTTATCAATTACAAAAAATTATTAAATTATAAAATGATTATACAAAAAAAAAAAATTTTCAAAAAATTTAAAATAAATCAATTACAAAAAATAAAACAAACTTATAAATATATATATATATTTCGTTATAATGATTTAAATATTAATGAAATAATATCTTTAAAAAAAGAAATCAAAAAATTAGATTATAAATCTTTAATATTAAATCAAAATTTAACTACTCATATTTTTTCACAATTAAAAGGACAAGGTTCAATTTTAATAATTTATGGAAATAATAATTTAAATTTAATTGAAAATTTAAAAAATTTAAAAAAATTTAAATTAATTTATTTAAATATTCAAAATAACATTTATTCTAATTTAAAAATAAAACAAATTTTATCTAAAAATTATCCACCATTAAATAATTTAATTGTTCAACCTTTTTTAAATTTTATATATTATTTAAGAAAAATTTAAAAAAGGCGATTATAACTTAAAGGTAGAGTGTTAGATTGTGGGTCTAAGTGTTATGGGTTCAAGTCCCATTTTTCGCCCATTATTTTTTTTTTATTTAATTAAATTTACATGTTTAATAAGTTCATATTAATTTTTTTACTTATTTTACCATTAATTACGGTTATTATATTATCTTTTTCGAAAGATGAAAAATTCATAAAAAATTTTAGTATTTTTATGTCTTTTTTCATTTTTTTAATGTCATTACCTTTATGGATTTTATTTGATAAATCAACTTCAAATTTTCAATATTTATTTAAAATTGAGTGGATTAGTCAATTTAATATTAATTTCTATTTAGGTCTTGATGGTATTTCATTATTTTTTATAATTTTAACAACATTTTTGATTCCAATTTGTATGTTAATCAGTTATGAAATTATTAATAAAAATATTAAAGAATATTTTATTTTATATTTTATTTTAGAATTTTGTTTAATTATTTCATTTAGTGTATTAGATATACTTATTTTTTATATTTTCTTTGAAAGTGTATTAATTCCAATGTTTTTAATTATTGGTATTTGGGGATCAAGAGAACGTAAAATTAAAGCTTCTTATTTATTTTTTATGTATACTTTAGCAGGTTCATTATTTATGTTTATAGCCATTATTCATTTATTTTTAACTGTAGGTACTACGGATTATCAAATATTATATTATAGTAATTTTAATTTTTCATATGAAAAATTATATTTTTTAGCTTTTTTTTTATCTTTCGCTGTTAAAGTTCCAATGTTACCTTTTCATGTTTGGTTACCCGAAGCTCATGTTGAAGCACCTACAGCTGGTTCTGTATTATTAGCAGGTATTTTATTAAAATTAGGATCATACGGTATGATTAGATTTTTAGTTCCTTTATTTCCTAAAGCTACTTTATATTTTACACCTTATATTTTAGTATTATGTTTAATATCTGTTATTTATGCTTCATTAACAGCAATACGACAAACCGACTTGAAACGTATTATTGCTTACGCATCAGTTGCTCACATGAATTTTATTATTTTAGGTATTTTTTCTTTAACTATACAAGGTTTAGAAGGTAGTATTATTCAAATGATTAGTCATGGGTTAGTATCTAGTGGTTTATTTTTTTCAATTGGATGTTTATATGATAGATATCATACGCGTTTTATTAATTATTATGGTGGTTTAGCACATACAATGCCTTTATTTTGTATAGCATTATTTATTTACGTATTAGCAAATATGTCTATTCCAGGTTCAAGTAGTTTTGTTGGTGAAATTTTAATATTAACAGGTGTTTTTGAAGATAATACTACAACTGCTGTTTTTGCAACAATTGGTATGTTTTTAGGTGGTATTTATTCTTTATTATTTTATAATAGAATATGTTACGGTAATATTCAAAATGTTTATTTAAAAATTTATTATGATTTAACTTATCGTGAATTTTTAATACATTTAATTTTAATTGCAAATATTTTTTTATTAGGTTTATATCCTAAAATTTTTGAAAGTTGTTTGCATGAAAGTGTATCTAAAATTTTAATACATATTGATTTTTCTTATTTTTATTAAACAAATTTTTTTGTTTAATAAAATGCCCTTTTAGTCTAATGGTTAGGACATTGCCTTTTCACGGCAAAGATACGAGTTCAATTCTCGTAAAGGGTAAAAAATATATATTTGGTATATTTTTAAATATGATAATTTAATAACCTCTATGGCTATTGAGTTATCATATATATTGGAATCAAATATTAAAAAATATAAAGATGAAAAAAGTTTACAAGAAACAGGAATTGTTCTTTCAATGAGTGATGGTATTGCTAGATGTTACGGTTTAACTCAAATTCAAGCTGGTGAAATGGTAGAATTTAATAATGGTAATATTAAAGGAATGGCTTTAAATTTAGAACCTGATGTTGTTGGTGTAGTTGTTTTCAGTAATGATAGAGAAATCCAAGAAGGTAATTTTGTAAGAAGAACCGGATCTATTGTTAGTGTACCTGTAGGTCCTGAAGTATTAGGTAGAGTAGTTGATGCTTTAGGTCAACCTATTGACGGTAAAGGTCAAATTAATAGTAAATTAGAAAGTAGAGTTGAAGTTAAAGCTCCAGGTATTATGCCTAGAGAAAGTGTTAAAGAACCTGTACAAACAGGTTTAAAAGCTGTAGATAGTTTAATTCCTATTGGTCGTGGACAAAGGGAGTTAATTATTGGTGATAGACAAACAGGTAAAACTTCAATTGCAATTGATACTATTATTAATCAAAGAGAACCTCATTTAAAAAAAGATACAAATAATCAATTATATTGTATTTATGTAGGTGTAGGTCAAAAAAGATCAACTATTGCTGAATTAACTAAAACTTTAGAAGAAAAAAATGCAATGTTTTTTTCTGTAATTGTTGCAGCTACTGCTTCAGATTCTGCTCCATTACAATATTTAGCTCCTTATACAGGTTGTGCTTTAGGTGAATATTTTAGAGATAATGGTAAACATGCTGTAATTTTTTATGATGATTTATCAAAACAAGCTGTAGCTTATAGACAAATGTCATTATTATTAAGAAGACCTCCAGGTAGAGAAGCTTATCCAGGTGACGTATTCTATTTACACTCTCGTTTATTAGAAAGAGCAGCTAAAATGAATAGAAAAATTGGTGGTGGTTCATTAACAGCTTTACCTATAATTGAGACTCAAGCTGGTGATGTTTCTGCTTATATTCCAACTAATGTTATTTCTATTACTGATGGACAAATTTTCTTAGAAACTGAATTATTTAATGAAGGTCAAAGACCCGCAATTAGTGTTGGTTTATCTGTAAGCCGTGTTGGTTCTGCAGCTCAAATTAAAGCTATGAAACAAATTGCAGGTACTATGAAATTAGAATTAGCACAATTTAGAGAAGTTCAAGCTTTTGCTCAATTTGGTTCTGATTTAGATGCAACAACTCAACAACAATTAAATAGAGGGGTTAGATTAACAGAAATGTTAAAACAAGGTTTAAATATCCCTTTATCTGTTGAAGATCAAATTGTAATTATTTATTTAGGTGTAAGAGGTTTTTTAGATAAAATTGCTGTAGATAAAATTTCAATTTTTGAAACTAATTGGTTAAATTTTATTAAAACTAATCATTCAGATATTTTAGAAGAGATTTTAACTAAAAAAGAAATTTCTAAAGAATTAGATAAAAAATTAAATACTTTAGCTATTGATTTTACTAATAACTTTATTACTAAATAATTAATAAAAAAAAATTATTGTAAATATTAATTTAAATAAAATATATTAAAAATAATATATTTTATTTATTTTATGTGTTATATATATACTATTATAAAATTAATATATTAAAAAATAAATTAATCTTATAATATTTTTAATTAAAATAAATTAATAAAAAATTTTTATTTTTTATTAATATTATAACGTACTAAATACGCCTCAAATTTCCCTAAAAAAGGTATAATTATTATGAAAAATAAAAAATAATAAATCATACTTATTACACCAATTTCAGTATATGGATATTCAACTGGACATTGTCCAACCCAACCTAATAATAAAAAAGCTACTACTAATAACCAATAACAAACTTTAAAAATAGGCCTAAAAGCTGTACTTCTAATTTCAGATGAATTTGTAAAAGGTATAGTTAATAATATAATTAAAGAACCAAACATTGCGATAACACCTCCAATTTTATTTGGAATAGATCTTAAAATTGCGTAAAAAGGTAAAAAATACCATTCAGGTACAATATGTAAAGGTGTTTTCATTGGATTAGCTTCAATATAATTATCTGGATGACCTAAAGTATTTGGATAATAAAATATAAAAATAAAAAACACTAAAAATAATACCATTAAACCAAATAAATCTTTTGTATAAAAATATGGATAAAAAGGAATATTTTCTGTTTTTAAAGTAATACCTAATGGATTATTAGAACCAACTTCATGTAATAAAATTAAATGTATTAATACTGCACCTACAATAACAAAAGGAAAGGTAAAATGTAAACTAAAAAAACGATTTAATGTTGGATTATCAACAGCAAAACCACCCCATAACCAATCTACTATATCTTTTCCTATTAAAGGTATTGCTGAAAATAAATTAGTAATAACAGTTGCACCCCAAAAACTCATTTGTCCCCAAGGTAATACATAACCCATAAAGGCAGTTGCCATCATTAAAATAAAAATTATTACACCTGAACACCATAAAGCTTCTCTTGGTGTAATATAAGAACCGTAATATAAACCTCTAAAAATATGTACATATACTACAATAAAAAAAAATGAAGCACCATTAGCATGTGTATATCTAATTAACCAACCATTATTTACATCTCGCATAATATGTTCAACACTATTAAAAGCTAAATCAATATGTGGTGTATAATGCATTGCTAAAAAAATACCTGTTAAAATTTGTACTACTAACATAATACCGGCTAACGAACCAAATCCAAAAAAATAATTTAAATTAATAGGTGTAGGATAATCTATTAAATGATTATTTACAACAGCAAATAATGATTTTTTATTCCATCTCATATTATAGAATAAAAATAAACCTAAAAACAAAAATAATAATAATTAAAAATAAATTCATAATTTATTTTTTATCCCAAGGATTATTAAATTCAAATAATCTGTATTGTTGTGATAAATTAATAGGTTCATAAACTACTCTTTTTTTTAAATCATTATAAAAAACTTCAAGAAATCCACTTAAAGGGAAATCTTTTCGTAAAGGATGTCCTTCAAAACCGTAATCAGTTAAAATTCTTCGTAAATCTGGATGATTTATAAAAAATATTCCAAACATATCCCAAACCTCTCTTTCACACCAATTAGCAGCTTTATATATATCAATAATAGAATCTACAGGTTGTAATTCATTAATTGAGATTTTTACTTTTAAACGACTATTAAAACGAATACTTAATAAATTATAAACAATTTCAAAACGTTTTTCTTTATTAATATAATCTATTGCACAAATTTCAGATAATAATTTAAATTGACTATTTGTATGATTTTTTAAAAAAAATAAAATAGGAATTAATTTTTTTGTAGAAATATTAATACATAATTCATTTTTATATAAAGTATAATTTATTATGGGTAAAATTTGTAATAAATATTGACTAAATTTTTTTAATATTTTCATAAATAAAAAATAATTATAAATATTAAATATAAATATTTATATATCAAAAAAATAAATTATTATTTTTTTTTTTTATATATTAATTTTATATAATAGTATATATATGACGTAAATAATAAATAAAATATATTATTTTTAATATATTTTATTTATATTACAGAATTTAATACTAATTAAAAAGCAAATAAGATTAAAAAAGCCATCATTAAACAAAATAAAGCAATAGCTTCAGTTAATGCGAAACCTAAAATAGCAGTTCTCATTAATTCTTGTTGTAAAGAAGGATTTCTTGAAATACCTATAATTAAAGAACCAAAAACGTTACCGATACCAATACCAGCACCAATTAATCCTAAAGTAGCTAAACCTGCACCTAAAAATTTAGAAGCTTGTAATAACATAAAATGTATTATCAATTTTTTTTATTATTTAAAATATCTTAAAGAATAAATATTTTATTAAAAAAAAATTAATAAAATATTTATTAAAGTTAATATTATAAATATAATTAAAAAATATTTTTATATTTTATAAAAAGTTTTTTTTTAATTAATTTTCAATTTTTTTACCATGTACTAATGTAACATACACAATATAAAAAAAGAATATAGCTGAAAAAAATGAAATATAAGAACCAAAACTACTTACAGCATTCCAACCACTCATTGCATCAGGAAAATCAGGAATTCTTCTAGGCATACCCGCTAAACCTAAGAAATGCATTGGAAAGAAAGTTACATTTACACCTATAAAAAATAACCAAAAATGAATTTGACCTAAAATTTCAGGATATCTACGTCCTGAAATTTTACCAATCCAAAAATAAAACCCAGTAAATATACCAAAAACGGCACCCATAGATAAAACATAATGGAAATGTCCTACAATATAGTAAGTATCATGTATTGCAATATCTAAACCTGAATTTGACATAGCTACACCAGTTACACCTCCCATAACAAATAATAAAATAAATCCTAAAGTAAATAATAAAGGAGTTTCAAATTTTAAAGAACCTCCCCATAAAGTAGCTAACCAACTAAAAATTTTAATACCAGTAGGCACTGCAATAATCATAGTAGCTGCTGAAAAATATGCTCTAGTATCTACATCTAAACCAACAGTAAACATGTGATGTGCCCAAACAATTGAACCTAATAACCCGATAGATAACATTGCATAAACCATTCCTAAATAACCAAATACATTTTTTTTAGCAAAAGCCGCAGAAACTTGACTAATAATACCGAATCCAGGTAAAATTAAAATATAAACTTCTGGATGACCAAAAAACCAAAATAAATGTTGATATAATACTGGATCACCTCCACCTGAAGGATCATAGAAAGAAGTATTTAAATTTCTATCAGTTAATAACATAGTAATTGCACCAGCTAATACAGGTAAAGTTAATAATAAAAGAAATGCTGTAATTAATACAGACCAAACAAATAAAGGTAATCTATGAAAACTTAAACCAGGA